TCAAATAGCTTATCGTAGCAATATCAGGTACAAATTCGTCGCGTCTGCGTCTCGAATGGGAGTCGGACCGTATATCCTACCGCATACTACCTTGTGCTCAACCAATCTCGTCGTCTGAATGAGTTGCATCGGGGCGCGGTTGCAGTTGTAGCGGGTCGTCGCGCCTCACAGCTCGTCGCGAAGTCTGGGCGCTGCTCGACACGTCAGAGTGGAAGGCGAGAGTGGAAGAGAGTGTCTGAACCACTTTTTAAGAACTGATGTCTCATGAGACGTCATTCGACGTTGTGGCGTGCCCTATTGAGTGAATTATAGGGCTGCGGACCACTACCGGGCTAACAATATGAACATATTTGATTAGTATAGTTATAGTGATATAGTAATACTTATATGTATCTATAATTTTAATTTGATCAATTTCCTGTTGTGCCTATTTTCTCTTCTATTGTTCCTTTTCTAAAGTGCATGTTGCTAACTAAAAATGTTGCAGGTGCAATGTAACAGTGGATTAAGTACCAATTTTTTTTCTGTTTACAAGGCAAAAACCCATAAAAATTTGCTCAAATTTAGAGGAGAACAGTTCGTGTCAAATCGCTCGATATCCTTCCATGTTGGTCCAGTTGCGGGCAAGCCGGCTAAGGTGCGTCTTATGTGTTGACTGGAGCTCTTAGACAGCGTTCGTCCCTTGCGCCAGTAGCGTAAAGGGATGTCTCGAAAAGATTAGGGTGCAGTTTCGCTTGGTGGGGGCATCGAGTGGTACAAAGCCAAGTTTGCACATATGAAGTCCTCTGAATGCCTGTGACCAAGGAGGCTCATTCACAAAATTTCGCAGTTTCGCAGGATTTTACCGGTCTGACTAAAGTCGACCCGTTACTTCAAATACCATAACACTTAACATAAAGTAACAAAAGGAACTTATTCAAAAATACAAAATGCTCCTTCAAGCCGAAAAGCGCCAGGATTAGATACTACTCGATTAATTCCGTCTAAAAGGAGATCGGACATCCAGAGAATCCCCTCCCCCCCCCCCGTTGTCGACATCGACATTATATACAGTAGGATAGGCTATCAGAAGTGATGGCTTTGGCTAAAGGAAAAGTTTGCATACTGAGCCTTCAATACTTGCAGTATAGTGGTCATAGATGTCGTGAGAATGTCCCCTTATCTTTTCTTATCAATTGATAAGATTGCCTGTCACCCGTCATCAATGTCGCTATCACTAAAACTCTATAATTTGGTAGTGTAAAGGCTCCAGCACTTTGACTGAACAACAACGGCAACGTTCCTTATCAGCCCCTATCAGCTGTTATCACTTCCCGTCACCCGCCGCCGTCCCCACCTCCCCCTTTATATCATTTGCTGACAATCAACGCCTAGCTGGTGTCCCGCGTTATGAGTATGGTGACCTTCCCATTCTAACTCCCCTTATCAAATCTTATCAGCTGCTAGCAGTTCTTGTCACCCACCAATGATGTTCCTGTCCCACAGCCTATATCATACCTTGGAACTAACGTCCCACTGTTGCTGTGTCCCGCACTATGGGCTCGGTACCCCTCCTCTTCTGACCCCACCAATAATGTTCCCGTCACAGCCCGTATATCACTGCTTGGAATCAACTTCCTACAGCAACTGGGACGGTAGCTTTCGTGACACACACACACACACACACACAC